GTCATACAGACAGCAGTAATGTTTGCTAGACAATGTGAGTGCACACAAGTAAGTCTGGTCATCTCACTTTTCACATTGTAGCTCATAGTGACTTCCGCCAGCCTGTTCCTGTCACCCCCATCAGCTACCTTACATCCCACTGACCACAGTTTGGTACATTCTACCTGGATCATGATGCAAACCAAAACCAAAACCAGCCCAATACCAATTCACCTTGGGTTGCATTTCTGGACTAGTGGGTGTTCTGCCTCAGAACCTCTTGGCTAATGCTGGCCACAAAACCTGTGATCAGCATCCAAAGAGGACCTTGGAAATTTTAGAACCACCCAGGACTATGCTGTGCCTCAACACACCCAGAACTTTCACATGCATCCTGTCCAACCTAGATCAGTTCCATTCTCAAAGTAAATTTGGGCATTTCACCAGAGGTACACTTGCAGAGCCCTCTCAGTACATATGAGTAGTTCCCAGGCTCTGAAATGCCTTAGAATTTTTTTGTTTTGTTTTGTTAGGCATTTATGGTACATTTTATTTACTTTTCATTTTAATTTATTTTATACACTTTAACATCTCTTAGCCTATAAGTTGAATTTATCCAAAATGAATAAACTTCTCACCAGAGCAGTTGAGGATACAAAACACATTATCATCAACATATTATAATCCATTTCTATATCCCCAAAATGCCTTTTTTCGTCCACAACTACTTTCCTTACACTGTCCTCTTTCTCCTGTCCTCTTCCCACATTATCTCTAGTACCTATAACCACTTTCGAAGTTTATATGGCCTATAATCTTTCAGGTTCCACTATGTTTTGAAGCACCTGATGCTTTGAAACACTTTTTCTGTTGTCTTGCCTGCCATGAAAGTGGAAGCTAGAAAAATTTCTATATTTATTTTTGCTGAAATCAGTGGTTATATTATGTTGCATCTTTAAAGATCAAAATGGAACACAGAAATAAACTTTTGCTAGGGCCAGCAGATGTTGTAATAGTTATGCCACTGGCCTCCCATATATTTGAATGCTGTTCAAGTCCCAGAGTCACAGACTTAAAACTCAAGCCAGTGTGTGTACATGTGTGCCCGAGATCCCAAGAGGACAATGGAAAAGAAGAGATGTGGTGTGGCCATCCCCCCAAGGGGTGGTTTCATGCTTTCTATCACTCTGTCTCTTTGTCTTCTCAGAGAGCATATATTCCCTATAGCAAAAATCACCTTAAAAAAATACTTGCAAAAATACTCATATTACTTCTGTAGTTGGGAAACTCTTAGATCTTATTAATCAACCTTCTGAAATGTTCTCTTTTTTGTAGACAGATTGCATCCCCAAATTTTCTGATATTGTTCATTTTAACTACTGTGACTTGCTGAATCAAAGCTGAATTTGAAAAAAATGTTCAATGTTTTTACTTTCAGAGATCAATTCATATTTCTGAATATTTCAAGGATTTATAGCACAGCTTACATTACTGAAGATTTTGACCCATTTGAGTTTAGTGATGTATGGTAACCTTTTAATTCTAATAAAAATATTTCTTCATTTTCACATTCATTTAATTTCTGATCTAAGAATTCTCTGATCCACAGTAAGTTTGGGCTTCTTCAAGAAGGTTTTATTACAGTTCCCAAACATACGAGGTTTCTCTTCCTTGTGAGTGCTCTAATGTAAAATATTAAATGATTACTCTGAACACATTTTTCTACACCATTCCCATTTATAGAACTTACTCCTGTGATCTCTGACATAAAGTAAGGACTTACTTATATTAGATGGAAAATTTTCTATTGGTACATTGACATTCACAGGCTTTTTCTTCTGTGAATACTTTGATGTACATTGAGGGCTGACTTATAAATGAAAGACTTTCTATACTACATTGTTTCTTTCCAGTGTGAGTCTCAGATGTGCAGTAAAATGTGACCTTTGGAAAAAAGTTATATTTCATTGTTCACAATCATAGAGTTTCTCATTGATGTTGAGTTCTCTGATGTACAGTGAGTGCAGACTTCCAGGAGAATATTTTCCTACAATGTTGATATTCATAGGGCTTCTCTCCTGTGTGAGTTCTCTGATGCCTAGTGAGATGTGACTTCTGGGAGAACATTTCCCTACC